CTCTATTCCTCCTGTCATTGTAAATACTTGCATATATCTCATTAAATTATTTACGATCACCCAATCAACTGAAAGAGCAGTGTATTGTGATCACATTTATTATATTTCTAGTGTATTTAATGATTTGATATGAAAACAAAATGAATTTAATTTCATGAATGAGCTAGTGCAAAATAATCAGAAAAGGAACATCAGATAATATTTTAATTTCAATTTTATTTTCTTTCATAATTATTAATTTTATATGATTTCATTTTAATAGTGAGAATTATACTTTAATTTTGAAAAGAATGACCTTGGTAGTTAATACCCTGACTTTTTCAACAATTAATATTTTTTCAACATTAGTTTTATTTTAATTTTTGTCCCCATATTTGGGCTAATAACTTCTTACTTGGGGCTAGTAAGTTTAATGCTGCCACTAGCCCATGGGCTAGTACTTGATTTGAGTATTTAAATTGCATACCCTTGGTAGTATTTCTCTATTGTATCACTACCTTTTACTTTTTTTTTTAATCTGAACACGTTTTCTTTAAACTTATGAATACTTTCTTTCGTAAATTGTATCGTATTGAAAAAATTGAATTGTGACACAAGTATTGCAATACGTATCGTATCATGGAGGGGCCGTATCTTTTCAGCCCTAGAATGTTACACCTGTCATGTTTATTTCAGGGCGTGGTCGTGGTGGATTTGGACAGCCCAGCAAACAAGGGGGAGGATTCGGAAGTCCCAGGGGTGGATTCAGGTGGGGATCCAGGAATTTCTTTCTTTCTGTAGACTTATCACAATCAGCAGTGTATTTCTTTTTAGCATCTTTTGCAGAAAGAAAGAAACTCCCACTCATTCAAGTACAAAGCTAAAAACTCTAAATATTTAACTTATTAAACAGTAATTATAAGTGAAACAGTAATTATAAGTAGTTGAACAACTACTATTTAAGAAATAAAGTCCACGTTTTTGTGAATGTTCCAGAATAATCTCTGAGGTCGAGAAATGTTGTTTGAAAGATAAAAACTGAGGCATCATTCACGAAAACAAGGACTTTATTTCTATTCTGCTACATGTAGTTAGCAGCCCTAAAATACGACTGATCGTTTCTCTATAGAGAATCGAACTAGGTCACCATGCTGCTTTAACGCTGTTCCATTTAACACCAGTGTAAATTTGTTTGTTTACCTGTGAATAGAGTGCAGACAATTTGAGCTTTCGCTGCATTAAAATTAGCCTTTTATTGTTTGTACTTTGTAGCTTAAAAAGATTAATCTTTTTGAATGTACAATAGGCCTAACAAAATCAGTTTCCTATTTTACCACTTTATTACCAAGATCAAGAGTTTAAAAATGGCGGAGGGAGGTTCGGGAAACAGCCCCACTTGGCCTTAAAAACCTACATTCATCAGCTACTTTCTGCAATAATATACAGTGTTTAAATTGTAAAAGACGACACATCAATGTGGCTTTCATTCTTAAGTCAAATGTACATTTCAACTGCACAGGTTTTATACGTGTTTCTGATCTGATAATTTTTGATGACGTTCGTGATTTATTGGAGAATAATGTCCGCTGCTTTCCTTTGAGGTAGCCAATTATCGTGGTAGAATGGTCTGATGTTTGGGAGGTCCGTGTTTGCTCTGCTCTTATTTTCTATTGTTTTATGGATTTTGAGATTGAATTCTGTTTGTTATCTCCATATCCTTCTTCTTACACAAATAATGATTAAGAAACAAGAGGCCCACGGGCCTTATAGGTCACCTGAGCATTCTGCAACAACTTTCCAGTTATTGAATTTGATTCATGTTTTAAGCCAGATGCTATATGGCATTCACAATTTTGAAAGAGGCACCATTGATCATCATAACAATACACTTAGCTGTTGCTTAGCTTGGTTTATTGATTTAAATATGCCCAATAATAAGTTCATAGGATCTTCATGAACGTTTCATGAACATTTCATGAATAAAATTCATGAAAAATTCAAGGAAATTCATGAATTATTCATAATCACCTCGCAAGGGTACTGATACCCATACGCAAGGTAGGGGAAAAAATGCATTCCAACTAATCAGTAATATTCAGCAATAATCAGTAATGCCCCTAACACTGTGAAATAAACCCCTGACCCTAGGTCCACACATAGCACAAATTTTAAAAAGGCACCGTTAAAATTGTCTATCAAAAAATAAATAAATGTTTTATAAATACAAAGGAGCAGATTTCAAACAATTAATTCATTTTCAGTATATAAGTAGAGCCCCACCCCCACCCCTGACCCTGGGGCCTTGAAATTCAAAACTTTGCAAGATTAGGGCCCTTGCTCATCATAACTATTTAGGTAGTTCATCTGCTTCATACCCAGAGACAAAAAAGAAAATTTTCAAAGATTTAATGTATATTCACTATAAAATCAATAGAGCCCCCTCCCCCCCCCCCCCCCCCCCCCCCCCCACACCAGAACCCCTGACCCTGGGACCATAAAATTCACAATTTTGGTAGAGGCACTCTTGCTCATCATAACTATGTACTTAGTTAGTTTATTTAATACCTAGGAGCAGAGAAGAAGATTTCAAAAAAATCATGTATTTTTACTATATAATCAATACAGCCCCGCCCTAACACCAGAACCCCTGACCCTGGGACCATAAAATCCCCATTTTTTGTAGAGGCACTCTTGCTCATCTTAACTATGCACTTTGTTAGTTTATTTAATATCTAGGAGCAGAGAAGAAGATTTTCAAAGAATTCATGTATTTTTACAATATAATCTATAGAGCCCCCCCCCCCCCAACACCAGAAGCCTTGACCCAGGGACCATAAAATTATTCACAATTTTTGTAGAGGCACTCTTGCTCATCATAACTATGCACTTAGTTAGTTTATTTAATACCTAGGAGCATAGAAGAAGATTTTCAAAGAATTCGTGTATTTTCACTATATAATCAATAGAGAGCCCCGCCCTTACACCAGAACTCTTCACCCTGGGGCCATAAAATTCAGAATTTTGGTAGAGGCACTCATGCTAATCATAACTATGCACTTAGTTAATTTATTTATAAATATCTAGGAGCAGAGAAGAAGATTTTCAAAGAATTCATGAATTTTTACTATATAATCTATAGAGCCCCCCCCCCCCCCACCACCAGAACCCTTGACCCTGGGGCCATAAAATTCACAATTTTGATAGAGGCACTCATGCTCATCATAACTATGCACTTAGTTAGTTTATTTAATATCTAGGAGCAGAGAAGAAGATTTTCAAAGAATTCATGTATTTTTACTATATAATCTACAAAGCCCCCCCCCCCCCCTACCAGAACCCCTGACCCTGGGACCATAAAATTCACAATTTTGTTAGAGGCACTCTTGCTCATCATAACTATGCACTAAGTTAGTTTATTTAATACCCAGGGGCAGAGAAGAAGATTTTCAAAGAAATCATGTATTTTCACTGTATATAATCAATAGAGCCCTGCCCTAACACCAGAACCCCTGACCCTGGGGCCATAAAATTCACAATTTTGGTAGAAGCACTCTTGCTCATCATAACTAACTACTTAGTTGGTTTATTTAATACCCAGGAGCAGAGAAGAAGATTTTCAAAGAAATAATGCATTATCACTACCTACTTATTTAGCCCTGCCCTAGCACTAGAACCCCTGACCCCAGGGCCATGAATTTCACAATTTTGGTAGAGGACTCAATGCTTATTACAATCATGCAAACAGTTTGACTGCTTGATGTCCAGGAGTAAAGAAGAAGATTTTTAAAGATTGCATTAATTGTAGTGGTTTTGGCCCCACCCCTCAGGCCCCAGGGGGGCAGGGATCATGAAATTCACAATTTTTGTTCCCCTTCACCCATAGATGCTTTGTGCCAAATTTGGTTGAAATTGGTTCAGTGGTTGCAGAGAAGAAGCTGAAAATGTTCAAAAGTTTACGAACGACGTACGACGAACGACGACGGACGAAAACAGATAGCAATAGGTCACCTGAGTTTACTCAGGTGACCTAAAAACATTAGAGAGTGGCTGGTTTATTTTTTTCTTTTTGAATAGCCAGTAAATGGGTTATCGATCAATGACAAATGTTTTATTTTTACAGAGGGCGTGGCAGAGGAAGAGGGGGATTTGGAGACCGAGGGTAAGTTTGATACGAAATGCCAGCAGCTGACGTAGTGTAATTGTGTTTGTATGTAATGATAAAGGTACATGATAGTATTGTTGTAAACATTTGTAAATTCCTCCATGCACCAATTTCTTTTATTATCAGGGGTCGAGGACGAGGGGGTTTCTATGACAACTCGTGAGTGTTTTCATGCATTGCTGCTTGTGGTTTTTACATTGCACGCAGACATGATTCTCACTTAATCTGGAATTTGTTATCTTTTTATACGCCCGTCTTAAGACGGGACGTATTATGTTATAGGCTTCGTGTCCGTCCGTCTGTCCGTCCGTCCGTCTGTCCGTCTGTCTGTTAGCTTTTTCGTTTCCGGCTCATAACTTTAATACTACTAGGCCTAGGAATATCAAACTTTGTCATCTGATGCATCTTGGGTAGAAGGTGTGTTGTTCACAAAAAGTAGGTCGCTCTGACCTTTAATTAAGAAGTTATAGCCAAATATGGAAAAATCCTTTCCGGCCCCTAACAAGAAAACCATAAGACTTACAATCATCAAACTTGACCAGTTTATGCGTCTTAGGTAGAAGGTGTGTCGCGACCTATTTCAAGGTCACTGTGACCTTTAATTTAAGTGAAATTAAAAAAAAATATGTCTTTTTACTATTTATATACACATCCCAAATAATGTAAGAGTATTGCACTGTCCTTATTAAAAAAGTGTTAAATCAAGAAAATACTTATTTTATTAAAGCATATACTTGACAGCATTTATCTATAACAAATATAATGTATGTTAGAGAAATCCTACCTCTCCCTTGAGTGTAATTATCAAGCACTGGTCAAGAAGAATTTTGATAACAGAAAATTGCATGTCAAATTAGAGAGAAATTAATGGGTTTTGAGTGCCAGGAGCTAACTGCCAGAGCATTGGTGTTATCTGTCCCTTGAGTATTGGGCAAATGGGTAAGCCTGTTTGATTAAAAATAGGCTATAGCTCTTGTTGACTAGCTTAATTTGATGAAAAGTAATTAAAACTAATTTGATATTGCATTGTAGACTAATCTGATATTATGTAATATTATTAATTTAAAAACTAATTTTATGGGGTGGGGTGGAATCAGCATGTCCATATGAATTACATATTAAAACCTGTTGGAAATTAAATCTCAACAAAAAAAAAAAATCTTTGAGTGTTTTATATGTTTTTAAACAAAATTTATAGTAGATAGTGCAGACCCATTCATCTCTTGGTAGTAATGAGTAGACAAGCATCCAGTTAAAGATTTATTAATGAGTTCAATGTAGGAAGGCTAGCTGTCTCTTATCTGTACCCTTTGGGGATTAGACAGAAGAACTGCTGGTCAGTTTATAACATATGTCATTTGATGGCCAGCCTTTTTTTTCAAAATTAATTTGGTATAGATTAAGTTGTTAAGACTAATTTGATGATGGGCATTTGACAAGGTCTAACACAACCAGCACAGAAATCTATCAGTTATGTAATATTTATTATAATTGATGCCTACATCACAGGGGATGGATAAATATTTTAAGGAATGGAAAAATCATCGAAATCTTAGAATCACGGGCAAGTTTGATGTGATTTCCTTGCACCTAAACTGTTCAAGAAAATTGTAATTTTTTTGACGGGCGTATCATGCTGTGGCGCGGCACTTTATTTTATTAGAAAAATAGAATGAAAAAAGCATTGATAGAAAATACAATTACTTTTTTTATACAATGTGCTTTTAGCAAAATGAAATGCAGGATAGCTTGATTGTTCACAATTATTTATCAAAAGCGTAAATGTAGTCATTGAGTAACATTGTAGAACCAGGGGACGTGGTAGAGGGGGTAATCAGGACTACATGTGAGTCCACTTATTGTTGCTAGCAGCCCTTGTGTCAATTTTTGTTGCTCACATTTACCCAAGTCCCTTTTTTCTTGAGTTTGGCAAAAATACAAATATTTTGATTTACCTTTTTAATTTCTTTTTAGTAGGACCAGTGTGTTTTAAAATTTGCACAATGATGTAACACTTTTTACATCCCTTTATGGCATCAAGCTTTAGGTTTACCTAACATGGACTTCCAGGGCTCGACATTAACGCTTGTCCGCTTGTCCGGTACCAATGAAAAACAATTACGGACAAGTGAATATTGCTGGGCACTTGTCCGATTGGACAAGTGATTTTTCATTAAAGAAGTCTTTGAATAATAATAAACAAAACAAATATTTATTTAATTGAAAAGTTAATCGAATACAAACGGAAGCATGAGTACATAAACCCGAATTTCGATCCTGATATCAATCCCTTTGTAAGTTGAAGTTCACACTTGATCGGGATCGATATTCACTAATTGCATCCATACCATTGCATGGCGTGGATCTTACAATGTTTGCCGGTTTGGAATATATCTGATTGAATTATAGATTCACTTGCAAAAATTTATGTTGTTGTCAGGTCAGGTAGTCTAGATAAAATTTTGTTTTATATGTGTTTGTCTTTTTTATCAATAACAAGACCAATAAATCAATTAATTTTTTTTTCATTTTTGGAATAGTTTTAAAGTTGACAGAATAAGAGATTCAATAAAAATTTTTTTCTGGCAAGTGAAGTTGATATTCGGACAAGTAAACATCTTGGTCACTTGTCCGAATGGACAAATAGGGAAAAAAGTTAATGTCGAGCCCTGACTTCTGCACCATAAGAATTCACTGATCTCTGACTGATAATGACTTTTGGACAATATGATATCTTCTTAAGAAGATGAAATCACAAGTGTATGATAAAGATTAGACAAGGGAATTTAAATGAGTTTTAAAAAAATCTGCTGTCATACTGAACTTGAATAGCAAAATGTCAGTTGCCGAAATTCCAGTCAGTTACTGATTTTTGTAGATTTATGATAGCTTCAAGTCCTTCAAAAAGATTTTAGTAAAGCTTATAAGGCATTGAGATGAAGAATAACAATGCATATAGATATTATGCTTCCTGCTAAATTTCATTCCTCAGCTTTAAAATTTTCAAACCTTAATTTTAAGTAATTATAGTAAATGGAATAGTTTTAAATGTTTTTGCAGCCTTTCGTATGTAGCCAGGTGACTTGCTTGTTTTTGTAGAACAAACCTGACCTTTATTAGTCTTTTACAAATAACAATTACTTACAAACTTCTGATGAATGGATCGAAATATGTTGAGATTCATGACTTTAAAAATTGAATTTGAATTAAACTTTTTTTGTCTTTGGAAAACATACATTGACTAATTGGTATTGTATTTTCTGTGTTATAGGCGAGGTGGTAGAGGAAACCGTGGCAACAGGGGAGGTAATCGCTTTCAGCGAGGTCGTGGGGGTCGAGGCAGAGGTCGCGGAGGGTCAAGGGGAGGAGGCATGACAGCAGAGGAACTAGACAATCAGTTAGATGCGTACATGTCCAAAACAAAGAGTAACCTAGACGCCGAGCTCGACGCCTACATGGCCGAATCCCAGAGCTGAGCATAAACACAGAGGAGTTCCGAAGAATCTGACACAATTACGGACGAGTAGTGTAAACACCAAGGAGTTCTGAGTAATCTGTTGCAACCTTACAAACAAATAGTGTAGAGATATCAAATGTCAGTTTATCATGAACATTTGTGCAATATGTCAAATCTGAATCCATGTTTTCTCATCAGATTTTAACAGTGGTCAGAATAACTTGTTTTATGTTTTAGATTGTGGGTACTATAAGTTTTCTTATTTTTGTTGAGAATAAATATTAAAATATAGTGGTTTTGATGTGAGGGACTATAGAGGAGACATGTAGAGTTTAGTAACTGCTTAGTTTTATATTGGGGCTAATATGATTCATATGAAATGTATACCAAATTACTTCTTGTATATATATTTTTTAAAATAGTTTTATGTAGTTTCTAATCAAAGAACATGTATCAAATGTACATTAAATAGTATTTGTGTTCTGTTGTTTTATGTAGCTGGTGTAGATGTAAAATTGATAGTGTATTTGTCTAAGTAAATCAGTATTGTCATTAGTTGAATATTAATATTGAGCATTATTTTGTTAAAAGGCACAAAAATTTTATTCTTTTTATGGAAATAAAGTAATGTGCAAGTCCCATCAAGGCCAATTAATTTTTTTAACTTTTGTAGGAAACTGTGTATGCCTATGTTTACAGTTTTTTGTGGTTGTATGCTGTAGAATGTTTTTATAGCACAGTTATCTTTTTTGTTAAAGTATATAAAATATACTACTTACCTAGGCCTACATTTTTGTCTTGAATTAAAAATTGTGAATCCTGTAAAACAATTTGCTCTTATGATTTCGAAGAACATTGCTGATTCAGAGAATGCCAATTGCTGAAAGATGTCCAAAATCAGTGTTTCATATTTGATCTTGATTTGCATGATAATTCAAAAGAAAGGATATATTCACTATGACAAAAGAATTGACCTATAGGAGAGAACAATTTCCCGGAAAAAGTGACATTTAAAAATTAACATTTAATTGTTGTTTTCTGCTGTATAATTATATGTCTAATTTTTATGCGCCCGGATCGATAGATCCTGGGCGTATATTGTTTTTGTCCTGGTTGTTTGTCTGTCTTTCTGTCTGTTGTCAACTTTAACCTTCGCCATAACTTTTGAACAATAAGAGATAGGGACTTCATATTTGGTATGCATACTCCACTAATAAAGTCCTTTCAAACGACGACAAGGTCAATGATCTTGTGACCTTGACTGTGACCTATATGCTAAAAATAGCTTTTTCCACTGTTTGTCATAACTTTTTAACCATAGGAGATAGGGACTTCATATTTGGTATGCATACTCCACTAATAAAGTCCTTTCAAACAACGACAAGGTCAATGATCTTGTAACCTTGACTGTGACCTATATGCTAAAAATAGCTTTTTCCACTGTTTGTCATAACTTTTTAACCATAGGAGATAGGGACTTCATATTTGGTATGCATACTCCACTAATAAAGTCCTTTCAAACGACGACAAGGTCAATGATCTTGTGACCTTAACTGTGACCTATATGCTAAAAATAACTTTTTCCACCGTTTGTCATAACTTTTTAACCATAGAAGATAGGGACTTCATATTTGGTATGCATACTTCACTAATAAAGTCCTTTCAAACGACGACAAGGTTAATGATCTTGTGACCTTGACTGTGACCTATATGCTAAAAATAGCTTTTTACACTTTTTGCTATAACTTTTGAACCATAAGAGACAGGGACTTCACATCTGGGATGCATACTCCACCGATTAAGTTCTTTCAAATGACACCATGGTCAATGACCATGTGTCCTTGACTGTGACCAATATGCTAAAAATAGATTTTTTGAACTTTGTTGCCGCCGGGCGCATAGTGTTTCACAAACACATCTTGTTTCAAACTTGTATTTTACACCTAAAATTTATGAAGTCATCTGAGTAAACTCAGGTGACCTATTGCTATCCGCTTTCATCTGTCATTGTTGGTCTTGGTTAACATTTGAGCATTTTCAGTTTTTCTCTGATACCACTGAACCAATTTCAACCAATTTTGGCATATAGCATCTATATAGATATGTTTGAAGGGGAACAAAAATTGTGAATTTCATGGTCCCTGCCCCCTTGGGATGGGGCCAAAACCACTAAAATTAGTGCAATATTTAAAAATCTTTTTCTTTACTCCTGGACATCAAGCAGTCAAACTGTTGGTTTGATTGTTATTAGCATTGAGTCCTCTACAAAAATTGTGAAATTCATGGCCCCAGGTTCAGGGGTTCTAGTGCTAGGAGGGGGCTATATTGATTTTATATTGAAAATGCATTATTTCTTTGAAAATCTTCTTCTCTGCTCCTGGGTATCAAATAAACTAACTATTAACTAAGTACATAGTTATAATGAGAAAGAGTGCCTCTTCTAAAATTGTGAATTTTTGTGGCACCAGGATCAGGGGTTCTGGTGTTAGGGTAGGGCTCTGTTGATTATATAGTGAAAATGCATTAATTCTTTGAAAATCTTCTTTGCTTCTGGGTATTATTTAATCTAAATAAGTACATAGTTATGATAAGTAAGAGTGCCCTTCTAAAATTTTGAATTTTTGTGGCACCAGGGTCAGGGGTTCCGGTGTAAGGGTGGGGCTCTGTTGATTATATAGTGAAAATGCATTAATTCTTTGAAAATCTTCTGTGCTTCTGGGTATTATTTAAACTAATTAAGTACATAGTTATGATAAGTAAGAGTGCGCTTCTAAAAATGTGAATTTTTTGGCCCCAGGGTCAGGGGTACTGGTGTTTAGGGAAGGGCTCTATTGATTATATAGTGAAAAATGTATAGTTCTTTGAAAATCTTTTTCTGTGCTCTTAGGTATTAAATAAACTAACTAAGAAGATAGCTATGATGATCAAGAATGCCTCTACCAAAATTGTGAATTTTATGGTCCTAGGGTCAGGGGTTCTGGTGTTAGGGTGGGGCTTTATGATGATTTTATAGTGAAAATCCATTAATTCTTTGAAAATCTTCTCTGCTCCTGGGTAATAAGCAGATGAACTATATAGTTATGATGTGCAAGGGCTCTTCTTCTAGAATTGTGAATTTCCAGGCCCCTGGGTCAGGAATACCAGGGGGGGGGGCTCTACTTATACTGAAAATGAATTGTTTGAAATCTGCTCCTTGGTATTAATCAAACATTTCTGATAAGTAAGTGTGCCTTTTCAAAAATTGTGCAGTGTGCGGACATAGGATCAGGGATTCATGTGTGGTAGGGGCACTTCTGATTATTGCTGTATATTACTGATTATAGTTGATATGCATTTTATGTTCCCCTACCCTGCCTATGGATATTAAGGAGGTTTGGGGGTCAACAAATTAAAAACAAATTAATCACCAGATATAACTTAAATTTTTAAATATGATATCTATAGCTGTCAACTAACATTTGACAAAAAAAGAATCTGGGTGGATTAGGCGAGTCATATGCCTACGCACGGGCAGGTAAAATATTGCTTTAAAAAATCTTGCAAATTCCACTTTTTGTTAAGTTTGGGAGTTATTTATAACCATATGCATACAGTAAAGATAAGACCTGAATCAAATTACTTACAAAGTGATTGTAATTAACCCACCAAAATGGTAACACGGTTTAGTAACCATAAAAATGACAGAAATTGAATGTTAAAACTGTGTTGTTTATATAGAGTGGGTCTTCGTACCATTTTTTTGTAAGCAAATATTGAAAGGGTATGGATGGATGTATCTCTCGCCATTTTAAAAAAAATGGTACGCAGACCCACTCTATATAAAAAAGTTAGTTTTCCTACTTAAATTTCGCAACATATTCTCAAAAACTCCAAGTCCAATTGTGCGTTTGCTATACATATACAGTTGACCTTCAGATATCCGGATGCTTCAGTATCCGGACGATTTTTCATCGGAACGAATTTTAAAATGTTATTCTGTCTTGTTTAACTGGTGATTCAGATATCCGGATGCTTCACATATCCTGACAAATTGACTGGGAACCAAAACGTTCGGATAAATGAGGGTCCACTGTAGAACTATTTGCTATTTAAAGGGCAATGTATGTGCGACTTCGTGGCTCAGTAGTCATAGCGGCGGTGTTGAAACACCCAGTTATTTGTCGCGAGTGTTCGAATCAAGAGGATTTTAAAGTTCAGGTTGAAATTTAGATAAATTTATTTTTTCTCTAAAACAGAATGAAAAGATAAGATGATGAATTTGTTTACGGTCAATTAATATATTTCCTTTAATAAACAAGTTTTCAAGCTACATGTGTATATAACATTTTGAATGCATTCAGTTCAAGACTACATTATATACACGATTGAAATGTAAACAGTCAGGGGTAGACCAGCGCGATATGGCTGTTCTGTATGCGAAAACAGTTAAAAGGAAATTAAAGTAAAGCGTACTATATCTCCCAAACCCTGAAAACATATTTGAAAGAACAACTAGCAAGCAATATGAAAAGCATCAAGTTTAAAAATACTGTAACGATAACCGCAAGGTTTAAAAAATAGATATTGTCATTTGGACAGCGCTGTACAAAGTTTAAATGTTTCAGTAAATCGTACAACTGTGAAATTTCCGAAATGCTTACAGAGCGACAAAATCAGTGTGAGCATATGACTCGCCTTATCCCCCCAGATTCTTTCATACATACCAGTTTTAAAATTTGATTATTTTGGTATATCTTTATATGGAGATCTTCTAAAGGAGATCGAAATAGTCTAAAAATGGCAACGACCAACCAGCCCCTTTAAGTAACCAAACTAAGCAATTACAAATTTTAAGTTTATAGTTATGATTAGCAATGGTGCCAGCCTCTTTCAAAATTGTGAATGCCATAGCATCTACCTTAAAACATGAACCAAATTCAATCATTTGAAAGTTGTTGCATGATTCTCAGGTGACCTATAAAGCCCATATGCATGGGCCTCTTGTTATTTACAACTTGACAATAAACTTCCAAAGTTCGCCAAAATCTCTTGAGGGTCATTAGTAACCAATGAAAGGTCTTGCCACAAAAAATACATATGTTGAGTATTGAAGCCCTAGCCCTAACTGTTTAGAAGTTATGACCATGGTTAGATATTTTTTAAAAGTAGATCAAACTCCAAGGTCAAGGTAAAAGATCTTGCTATCAAATATAAGGTGTTGTCACAAGGATTAAACATGTAAAGTATGAAAGCATTAACCCTAACCCTTTTAAAGTAATGGTCAAGGTTTTCTTTTTAAAAGAAGGTCAAACTCCAAGGTCAAAGTTCTTGGTATCCAATGAAAGATCTTTTCACTAAGATTACACATAAGTGAAGTACCGGTAGGATCACTAGCCCTAAGCATTCAAAAGTTATGGCCAAGGTCAAAGTTTTTTCATAAATATAAAAATCTCCAACGTGAAAAGGTCAATGTAATTGGTATCCAATAAAAGGTCTTGTCACATGAATACATAAGTAATGTATGGATGCCCTAGCCGTAACTGTTCAGAAGTTATGGCCAAGGATAAAATTTTAAAAGTCAGTCAAAGGGCCAAAGGTCTTTCTATCAAATGGAAGATCTTGTCACATGGCTTAAATATGTAAAGTATGAAAGCACTAGCCTTAACCCTTTAATAGTTTTGGTCAAGGTTTGCTTTTTAAGAGGAGTAAAAACTCCAAGGTCCCGGTCAAAGTTCTTGGTATCCAATGAAGAATCTTTTTTCACAAGGATTACATATGTGAAGTATGAAAGCGCAATCCCTTACCGTTTCAAAGTTATGGCCAAGGTTAAAGTTTTTTCTCTAAAGTACAA